CGCCCCGCCCAAAAAAAAAAAAAAAAAAAAAAAAAAAAGGAAGACGCAATATTGAAACAAATTCAATAAAGACTTTAAAAATGGTCCACATCTTAAAAATAAAAAGCGGGGGGATGGGGAGTACCAGCCTGAGGAGTGGCTTGTGCAGGGCAGCAAACAGTTGTCCTCAACATCTGGTTTCTTCTTGCTGAAAGGGGAGCAGCAGAATCTGGAGGTGGTCCATGTGGTCAGGAGTCAGGGCTGCCACAGTAATGGGCCTGAGAGAGCCACGAGCTTCTGGGCTCTGGAAGGGAGATGGCCTCCTGGTGTGTCCTAGTTTCATATCCTGGCACTAAAACCAGTGAGATCTTCTTCGAAAATACTTTAATTGTTTTAATAAATAGCTAAAAACAGGCACCATTGAAACTGCTGTGGAGAACACTTCAGGGGTTCCTTGAAATTCAACACGGAATCACCATAACCCCCAGCAAGCCCACTCCTAGACATTTACCCCAGAGAATTGGACACAAGGTCTCAAGCAAATTCTTGCACGTGAATGTTCATAGCTGCATCATTCATAACAGCCAACGGGCGGAAACAACCCAAGGGCCCATCAGTTGATGAATAGTTAAACTGAAATGTGCATCCAGAGAAATACCCATGCAACAGAATATGATTAAGCCATTACAAAAACAAATTCTGGTACATGCTACAACATGGATGAACTGGAAAACACTAAGTGAAATCAGCCAGGACAAATATTATATGATTCCACTTATATGAAATAGCTGAGATAATCAAAGTCATGGAGACAGAAAGTCGATGCGAGGTTATCAGGGGTTGGGGGGAGAGCGGAGGGGGAATTATCACTTTCAGGGTAGAGCCTTTGTGTTTGGGGTGATACAATTGATAGTGGTGATGGTTGTGCAACAGTGTGAATGTGGTCGATGCCACTGATTTGTACACTTAAAAATGGTTAAAATGGTAAATTTTAAATAAATACCATAATAAAAACAACCAGCCAACCAGTCACGAGGGCAGTCATTCAATCAGAGACCACCTTCTTGCCCCTGGATTCAACTGCAAGACTTCCTCATAAATTGACACAACTGTTCCTAGGATGCACTTTCCTAGTGAAGGGTTTTTCGTCAGATGCATCGTCGGAGAAAACTTTAAAAGAGACCCAACAGCAAAAATGTCAGTTTTGCTCTCTTTAACATAAATGACAAACAAATTATTTCTAAGAGTCTCAACAAAGGCTGAGAAAGTATATTGCCTTAATGATCACTCCTCTATCTGAAAACAGCTCCTTTTTGCTTTGCTTTAAAAATGGTACCTCCCCTTGGCTTACTTAAAAAGCACCAGCCGCAGCGGCTGCTACTGCTAATAACTGCGTTTCGTACAATTGGCTTTTCCTGGTGTGAGAGTTTTGAAAGGCAGGTGGCTGCTTGTGAGCTGTGTTATTAGACTTGGCTTTAGTGAAGCTCCCCGGCTCATAACTGCAGGGCGCCTGGTGCAGCGTCCCGGCTGGGCTCTGAAAACTGCAGGCGTAGACAGTCCTTGTGACCCCAAGCTGTGTAGATGCCACCAAGGCAGAGGGGCCTAGGAGGGATCAGAATGGTCCCAGGTTGGGAATTCCCTGGCGGTCCAGTGGTTGGGACTCCGTGCTTTCACTGCCGAGGGTCCGGGTTCGGTCCCTGGTCGGGGAACTAGGATACTGCAGGCGTCAAGGCGCAGCATGCATAAATAAGTCAATAAATGGATAGATAAATAGTAAGTACATAAATAAACAGTAAATAAAATAAATAAGGGTCCCAGGTCGACATGGCTGTTTTTCCAGTGGTCTGATCCGTCCTTTAAGCTCAGGTTTTAGGCATCTCGTGATAGTTGGTATTCTCTTTCTAGAGCATGCCTTTCGGAGGCAATGCCACCCCTGGCCTCCTCTGCCCCTCTCTGCTCTCTTCTGTGCCCTGTTGACAAGCATTTCTGGGAGGAGAAGGGGTTCCTGCTTCCCTGCCACCCCTGAGAGAGCACAGAGCCGCCGTGTGTGCGTCCACGCCTGCTGGGGATGTGGGTTTGACTCTGATCCACCCTGTTTCCCAGGTTCGGAGCTGAATGGCATGACTGGACTGGACGTGGCTGAGGTTCCGCCCCCTCTGCCTCTCAAAGGCACCAGCGCAGACTATGGGGCCTTGACCGAGAACCTGGACCTGACAGGCCTGCCGAGCCCCCCGCCCCCTCCTCCTCAGCAGAGGGTAAGTCAGGACTCGGGGCGTGGGTTGCTCAGATCCTTCTCTGCACCAGGTACAAACCCCTCCTTCCTGGTGTTAGCGTGTTGACTCTGGGCAAAGCTGAGATGTGATTCCGAGCAGAGGTCACAGTGGTTGGAACGCCGGCGCGCGTGGTCTGTCGTTCTGTGTCCTCGCCGCAGGGACGCACTTTCCCACGGGGCCCTCAGGACAAGGCAAAGCGGGAAGAACTCCAGCCAGTGGATCGAAGGGCCACTCTCGTGACCTTGGAGGTCACTGCGCTTCTCAGGAAAGTGTGGTGTTGAAAAGTAGCTTTTGTATGAAGAGGTTTGTGTGACTCTTTAAGAAGCTGCCCGATGCCACACACGGTCGGGGGCCTCGCCCTTGAGAAGCCCTGGTCCGGGCAGTTCCTCCAGGCAGCCCACCCTCGCACCGGCCACTCCCGGGTGGGGACAGGCACTTGCTGCACAGAGAATCTGCAAAGGAGAAGCAAGGTTGGGCAGACCCTGTTCCCCGAGGCCACCCATCCCTAGCCACACCTCTAGCCCTGAAACCCACCCCACCCCGTTTAGATTCGGGGTGCTGGCTGCCACAAGCATGGTCTGCCAACTCGAACCCTCGTCAACACTGGCGCCCAGGCTAGTGCCCCCTCGGAAACCGTCATTAATCGTGTCTGATGTGCTCACTGCTCTGGCCTCTGGGCCTGCCTACTTATGCAAACGTCAGCTAAAAGCCTGAAAAAAACACCTAAACCCGTGCCTCTGTTACCGGCTCACGGCTCTAGAAACATTCTTTCGAGATCCCCCCACATTCTCTCCTGCTTCTTAAGGCTGCTGTCACACAGGCCTCTCCTTTGTTCACTGGCCCGGCTGCGTGCAGAGGTCCGCGTGCCCACGTGAAATGACCCAGCAGCGCCGGGTGATCGCATCCAGGTTCATCCCTCCCCCAGCCACGCTATTCACAGCCTAATGAAATTAAAGCCATGCAGGCTGCGGAGTAGAATATCCCCGATCACACGTGCAGCTGGTCAGCCTCTATAACGTAATTATACGGCAGCAGAACTTCTGTAGAACATCGAAGACACGAGGTAGTCACGTGGCCACGATGCTTTTCATAACAGCAAGGTGTGTTTTTTCCCCTTCTAAAACAATATAAATAATCCTACATTTTTTTTCTTTCTTTTTTTTTTTTTTTTTTTT